TGTCACATTTGTTGATTGTTTAAGACCATTTCTTTCCTCAAAGCAAATTGAGACACATACATGAAGAGATAGCTCAATGTCTGATCTTTCATAAACAACATGTCTTTTTATTTGGCATCTAGTTTTTCGTTATTTCCTTCTTGAAGAATATGTTTTCTTTTTCTGATCGTGTAATGTAGAATTCTCTGTAAATCTTCAGTATGTACATTTAATTTATTTTTTTATATGAAAGAGCATGTTGAGATGGAAGACATGAGGGAGTCTCTTTTTTAAAATAGACTTTCTTACTATTATAGAAAAAAAGAGTACTTTAATAATAAGAACACCATTTCTTTTGAGAGTATTGCGAAACATTGAATTTTTCTTCATTTAAAAAGTATAAATTCTAAGTAGGCTATTTTCTATCCTCGTTTGTTAAATATCTTCGTCGAAAGTCATAATATAGGGCTGAAGACTTTTTACCATAGCCTCTCCATTACGGTTCCAACATATCAGAAAAATTTCATGCGATTTGAAGTACTTTATTCACGACCGATTTTTGAGAAGAGTTGATCTTAACTCAAAACTTCACAATCATACTAATCAATAATAAACTTCTATGAATTTAGGATAATATGAAATATTGTTTAATCTTCTAGCCTTCCCATCACCATTATTTAATATCAAATATAATTATTAAATATAGCATAATATCTTTTTAGAATGCATATAACCGCTTAAAATTAGTATACTTTATCATACCTAATAAATAACCCATCAAAATGTAACTAACCTTTTTGTACTTTAGTTAAAGTTCTACCTACAATGTGTTTACTTTAGTTTTTCTATTGTATTTTTTTGTTTGTTTTAAAAACGATTTAATATATTTTTCAGAGTCTTAGTTTCTCTTTCTTTTCTATTCTTTTTTTTAAATAATTTACTTTGATGATGTTGTCTCCATGGTCTTTGTCCAAAAAATTCTGTTGCTTTTAAAAATTCACTTGGATCAAAATCAGCTTGTTCAATTCGACGACATGTTTGTGCAATTTGTTTTCGAGCCATAGATTGATAAGCTGCTTCTTGATAATAAAAACCTGGATGTTGAGTTTGTATTGCTAATGGACAACGCGTAAATAAATCACCAAATGTTTGAAATCTAATTACAAAGAGTAACACAAAAAGAAAAAAAAAACATGATTTCAAATTTCATATTTATAAATAAACCAAACAAACAATGAATTACTGTTTTGAAAGCCATGCTTTATGTTCGAAGACTAAATCAGTTGGACCTATTTTACTTTTAAATATATCAGCATGACGACGAAAATGATTAATTGCTTCAACTGGTTGAGATAATTCAAATGAAATTCGACATATCTTAATAATATTAATAAGAAAATTAATTTCATTATTTTATGAACAAAAAAAAACAAAAACAAAAAGTTTTTTTTTTTTTCTTTTTACTTTATAAGTTAAAAATCCAGCTATAATTTTCATTTCAAGTATATTTGTATCATGAATACGAGCATTTTCTGTTAAATAACTATATGCATTTTTATATGACTTAACAGCACTTGGAATATCTTGTTTAAGTTCAGAAAAAAATCCAACTTTAAATTGATGACGTATATGTAATAATTGATGTGTTATATTATTTAATGTTTCTTTATGTTTTTTAACACGACGTATTTCATTCGTATAATAATTTTGACTACTTTCAATAAATGTTTGTTCTAATCTATACATAAATTTTTTAATAAAAAAAATTTGAGTTAACATTCAATACTAACCTATCAATCCATGCAGAAAGATTATCAGGTTGTGGAAGTACAGGTAAAACACATAGAGAACGTTTTGGTATATCAAAATAATTACAAAGTGTATTAGCCATTTGATCACGTTCGGAACTATAGACATCGTCGACTTAAAATAGAAAAATTAAATTAATCTACGAACAATATTTTTATGTTTCTAATGAAATTTAATGCTAAACTTTGTAAGTATTCAATTCATTTGTTAAATATGTCAAAACCTAGCGATTTCAAAAGTAATCTTTTCTCTTTCGTCCTAAACAGAAGCAGATATAGAATTTTAAGTTATACAAAACTGTTAACTTTATTTTTCAAAAAACTTCATCCTTGACGACATTAAATTTATATGATTCACATCTATTTAGTCATTTCACTACGATTATCTATTCTTTGTTGATGCTTACTGATTTACGTAAAGTCTTTGCTCATTAAAACTGATGTCAAAAGTAAATTACTTAATACTAATAGATAGAGAATTTTGTACTCAATGCCTCAAGAATTTTGTTTTTTGCAGGTTTCCGAAGATAATGTTGACAAAAACATAACTGTCGGTATTTTTGAGTCGACATTGGAAAATCATGTTTTCAAAATGCTCTATGAAAATATTTATTATTATGCTATAAAATTTAGAGTTTAACATTGAATAAAACGATATAAATAGTAAATTGAATCGTGAAAATATTTATAATGTTTTAAATTAGAACACAATAATGGTAGAAATCTAACAGAAAAAAAACCTTTTCTAATGCTTTCTCATCTTTTAGTTTCATATTTGACTATCATAGATAGACGATTAAGTGGGTGTTCTTCATCTAAATTTTATATTGATAAGAGAAAATTGTTTGAGAAACAAAGTTAACAATTCAGTAGATCTTGAAATTTTCCTTCTTTAAGTGTGAGATGAAATTTCTTTCGATGATGAAAAAAGAAAAAAAGTGCGTCAAGATTTAATGTAATATCTGCTGGGACATTTGTTAGTAAAACAAGCTCGTTCAATATCTGTTATGTTCTGATATAGATCCTATTGATAACGACTTTGAATTTTTAAATCAAATTTAAATACAAGAATGATGTTTGTCAATCATTTTCAAATAATATTACATTTACAATAACATTTTATTTTATTTATTCTGATAAAATAAGTTCACCGTTAAAGAATAAATTCATCTATTCGATATCTATATCAATTTACTAAAAACAATTTTATAAATTTACCCGTTGGAAAACTATTTTTATTTTGAAGAAGTACTACTGATATAGCAGCAGCACGAGCATCAAGATTTGTTCTAAAAAAAAAAAAGACATTGATTAAAATTAATATATATCCATTATATATTCAAATAGATGTTTATATACGTATACCTGACCATATCAATTTTATTTTTTAATTCAATTTGTTTATCTTTAAATAATGAATCATTCCAATCAAGTTCAAAAAAGATAACTATTAAACTTGGTACTAAATGTAAATGTTTATGCATCCAATTTGTTTTGAGTATGCCTTTTGGAACGTACCATTCATATGTAGCACGCTAAGAAATAAAATAAAATAAAATATAACTATAGTGAATAAAAATAAAACAAACTTTTGCTTTGCTACGTGGATATTGTTCATCGATATCTACAAGTCGATAACGTAGTGGTGCATTAGCTCGTTCTTTATCAAGTAATTCCCAAATAGAACGATGTACTGGATGTTGACGTGTATTAAGATTAGCTAAACATACCAGACCTCTTGGAACAATAGATAACTCTTCAGGCATAACACAAGCCCAAGCCATTTTTAGTTTTTTATATTAAAAAAAAAAGGATTTTTATGTTTTGTAGTTTTTTTGTAACGAACTAAGATAACTAGTATGATTCATTCGTAACCCAATAGTCATCTTTTTCACCAATACAGTTTCTTAAACACAGCGCCATCTTTCAATATTGCTTACAGTCCTTAACCAGGACGGCCAGATCTTTTAAATTAACAATGAACACTGTCGAATTGTTAGATCTATTTTCTGGAATGCTTTTTGACCTTTTGAATTATCATATTTTACCTAGTTTGGATTTTTTATGAGTTTGATTCCAACTTCTTATTGAATTTTATCTGTAACACTGTCATTATTCTGCAACTATTACATAGTGGTGGCGAAACCAGGATTTTGTGCTAAGAGGCTGCCCATGTCCTTTGAATCGACTAAAAATTGCCGATTAATCCCGATTCATCGAAACGATAATCGTGAGCTGAATCGCGATAGAATTGCCGATTATTCCCGATTATTTCAGCGATTTTTACGATAAATCGTGATTTTATGCAAGATTTAACTGTCTGTTTACTGATATTTTCTACTATTTCATTGGTTCTTTTGGAGACACATATTTGGATTTTTTCTTGAATTTAATTCAATTTTTTTTGTTCTCAAGATCCAAGCCGAACATATCGTGCGATCTTTCTGATCTCGAGCTGGTCCGATTCTTATCAGACCGCTTCAGTGTAGTCCTCTCCAGTTCATGGATCGGGATTGGCATTTCCTTGATTAAAAATAACCAAGAAATAATTTATCAGAAAAGTATATTTCGAAAACTTATTTGTTATGCATTGAACGGCGTTGTTTATATATCCGTCTGTGTTCATAACAAAACGGTGAATGAATAATTGTCATGATTTATCAATGATTTTTGAAAATCAGCTCTTCTCCCATAATCGCGATAAAATCTGATATAATCGTCGATCTTTTAAAGAAATACGATAAATCACGATTTTACGCCAATTTTTTAGAAAATCGCGAAAATCTCGGTGATTCTCACGACATGGGTGATTTCTCCATTCGACTCTCCCTGTCTCCACTACTGTTACATCATGCAATTTTGAGATTACTACTAACATACAATCATCTGAATCTAAAGCCTACCCGAACTAAACGACATATGCGTGAGTATAAATAAGATTGACGAAAAGAAAAAAATTAGTATCAGCAAGAGTTTTCATACACATTGCTGATAGAAAACAAAAATATTTCAATTAAATATAACTTGATATATGTGCTTAGACGTAAAATAATAGCTTTTCGAATAATACATTAAAATTTCTGATTAATAACTACTGATCAAAACATCTGACATTTTTCTCAAAATTGCTATTAGAAAATTCAAGAATTTGTAAACTTTTGAAGTAAAATAAAAGAAATAATTACAAAGAATATTTAGCAAAAAAAACAAAAATTAATGTGAAGTGCGTAAACGTTGTTCCATAACAACTGCTAACGGATTTTCAATAGGTTCTTCCATATCAATAACAGTCATATGTCGATTTTTTTGTCGTCGTCGATAGACTACACCTGAACCAACACCTAATAAAATTAATAAAACACCACCCATTCCAAGCATAATACCAATAAATTTATAATTAACACCATCATCATTATTTGCATCTGATTCGTCTGGATTTGGTTTATCGATAGAACATTTTGATATAATTAATTGTGTTTGAATATCACAATGTGTTCGTGTAGTATTAAATAGACATATTGGTTGTATTAATGAATCATTCATAATTATTTGTATTTGTGTATAATTAAAAAATAAATCAACAATACAATTACATTCATGTGTTTCATCTAATTCAAATTGAAATAAATTTGATGATTGTTGAAATATTGTAAAATATGAACAGAAATTATCATCATTAAATTTATAACCAAGTAAACTTATTATAATACTTTGATTTTTTGAATTACTTAAACGTTTAAGTAAATTAATCATCATATTTTCAGTTAGATTTGTATGTGAAATATTAATTGAAATAAGATTAGACATATTAGGAATATAATTATGTATGAAATTTTCAGTATTTTCATTAATAAATCCTTCAGAAAAATCAATTGTTTGTAAATATTCTAAAGTTTTTAATATATTTGTTTTAACAAGTAAATCAAATTGTTGTTGTTTAAATATTAAATGTTTTATATGACTATATGGAAGCCAATCAAAGTTTTCATCAAATATATTAATAGAATTATTACTTAAATCAAGTTTATCTAAATTTTGTAAAACTCCATCAACGAAATTTGATGAAAATTTTTTCAAATTCTTATTATTACGTATAATTAATTCTCTAAGTATAAGTGATTGTGCTTGAAATGTATGAATATTAATAAATTGAAGTCCTGTTTTTGAAATTTCTAAACGTTCTGTTGTTATGAGAAATGATGGTAAACTATTATTAGTTATTTGTATAAATGCTGGACATTCAAGAATATATAAATTTTTAATATTAGCAGATTTTTGCATTATATTTGAAAATCCAGTTATATCTGATTGTTCAAAAATTAATTCATTAATATGTAAATCTTCACCAAAACAACTCGTATCAAATATTGAATGTCCATTAAAATTCTTTATATTAAAAAAACGTAAACGATTTATTTTTATATGATTAAATACATTTAATTGTAATGTTATATTTGATGGATTAATTGAATGTTCAATATCAATTGATATTGTTGAATTATTCAATATAATTATATTTGATGAAAATACATCAGACTCAATTATTGTTATATTAATAAGATGAATTGTTATTAAACTATTTGTAAGAAATGTCATATTTTGAAAAGTATATGTTTGAATTTGTTGAAAATTACGAAAAATATATTTCTCAACAGATGGTAATAATGAAAATAAAGAAAAATAATCATTTTCCGTTTGATTACCATAATTAGCATCACATATTACTACATTTGTATTTGTATCACAAGTACATAAGTCAATAAATGAACAATCCGAATGAATTGTACTTAATTGTGAGGTGAATGTATAAAAATAGAAGAGATAATGCAAGAACATTATTGATGACGAATAAAATATCAAGTATGACAATGTAAAAGTGTTTTGTTTGCTACTGACTTTTATCTTTATTTAATGCACTATCGCATGATAAATTTTACTGTAAGAAAAAGCAAACAAACATTGAAATATGCTTGAATTAAACAATATCCTATTGTTATTGAAGACCAAAGTTTATTGACGTTATAAATTACATATAGAGAATTGTGAGTGTTTTTTTGCTCTCTGAAATCAATGGAAAAGAATTCGTCTAGTAAATGAATAAAATATAATATTCTAAATGTCTTTAGTGATCTTACAAACATGTTCTAGAAATGATAGGCATAAAAATAATATCACAGAGTTGCAATGAGTAAGGTCGTAAATGTTATTATCTGTTTGTAAATAATGAATATTTTAATTTGAAACTTATGAATATGAACAGAGTGGGTGGTAGAAATATCTTTTTTTGACTTTTTTCAATTAAGTCATCTGATCCATTCATTGTATCTTTTTTTTATTATCTACGTAAAACAATGTTTCAGATAATATTTCAATTCTAAATAAGAAACAAAGTCCATTAAAATATTAGCAAAGCTTTCACTTTTTATCTCATGTGAAACAATGTATTTTTTTTTTTTTGCTAACATATTTCAGTTTATACGATTGTTTATCGAAAGCGAAAACTAGATGCATAGATAGAAGGGATTCATAGTCATAAAAAAATACGAAAAACTGATATACAGAAAATTTTTTGTCCATTATTTTTTTTTTCTTTAGTTTTAATGATATCAATGTTCCATGAAATTTTTAAAAACAATAAAATATCACCATGACCAACTAATGAGAATATTGAGACTGCTTACTATAGAGAATCATTGTCATTGAGTAATAGACTTCATTATCATTTTTTTGTATTTATTATCTAAGTAATTGGATGACTGGTATTTTATTACTCTAAAATTACCTATGAAAATAATTAGAGACTAGTTTCATTTTACGCAAATCCTACGCAGATAAAAATAAACATTTTTTACACATATATATAAAGATATATATCAGTATATCAGAATCATTTCGTTTCCATTGAATAACACTAATATATTGAATAGTTCTCTAACAATGGGCAAGGTAAGACACATAAATATATGAGAAGAATAAGTATTTATTATATGTACATTGTAGGCTAATATCTTCAAGTTTACCTCATATTTACGAATTTTCATGATCTTCTTTATACTGGTTCTTTGTATCAATAAAAATCGTGCATCAATAAATGGTATTAATGATCCAATATCTTTTTATAATAATGATGATGAATCTGGATTTCCTATTAATCGAGATAAATCATTTGATTTAAAAGAATTCATCCCTGAAGATATTGAATCAAGTCAACATAATGCTTGGTCTCGTTTATTTCACAGTGAAACTAGTCAACCAAGAATTACAAATCGTTCACGTTATCCATCAAGACTACATAGTCATAGTTCTCCAAATGGTCGCATGTACATTATACCATTTGATAAACGTACAATTCCAATTGAACTTCAAAAAGCTCTTTATGCTCATGGAATTGTAGGTCGATGACATTAAAAGAGTTTTAATCAGAAATATTGTAAAACATGATTTGTTTTTTTCTTGCGGTAAATAAATAAGCATAAAATGACATTTGCGATGCAAATAATACACTTTAAGTCTAATGATTGTTGTTATAATAAGTTAATAATTATTTCTAAAGTCAAATCTTGTTTCTATAAGTTCAAGCACTATATTTATTAATTCATTGGTTAACGTCATCTTCATAAAATTCAGTTCCTTATGGTTACATCTAAAAATTTGTTTTCACTAAAATTTATAAGTTCTTTGATGAAGAATCTCTATCTGATACTGCCCTCTGTCACCGTGGTACTCATGACAACTTATAGATTAAATTTTTGATTATGGTTGTTGACAGTAACTTATAAATAATTTTCTTTCTGACACAAAAATTGTTCTTTTAATGCCTGAAAAGTAAGTCATATTATTTTCAATAATTTTGTTAATATCATACATTTATACTTGAACTTCAAAGATCAAAAACTCGTCCATTAAGTGCCAGCCGTAAACGACGACATAGGAATCGTCGTTCAAGTTTAAATGCTGATTCAAGACCCTCCAAAACGTTATCCAATCCATATCCATTATCATCAGAACCTAATATTCTTTATTCTGACGTAGATCTTCGTACAACAAAAGAAAAAATTGAAAGTTTAGAAAACGAAATAAAACTACTCAAAAATGATTCAACTGTAATTATTTTTTTTTGCATTTCGAATAAAATCTTTCGTCTATTTTGTTATTCTTTTCTAGCCAGAAGAATATCTTAATTCTCTTGTTCTTGTACAACTGTATACAAGTCTTGAATATGGTGAAATATCTATTGAAAATGCTCGTACTTATGTAAATTTAAGCAAATTTTATCTTGATCATTTAAGTAATTTTCATTTTCATAATACAAAAACAAATAATCTTTTGCTTTTGTTTTTTAATTATAAAGATTTATTACCACAAGCTAAATCTCATATCCTTAAAGCTCGACAAATTCTTGAACAATTAAATATAAAACCTACTGATGATCAACTTATACAAAATTTACTTGGTTTTGAAATATATCTTTTATTAATTAAATGTTCTTTTTATGCAAAACGACATTCATCTCAACGAGATATAAAAATAAAAAATAAACATATTCAATCAATTGATACAACACATATTAAGCATGATCAGAATGTAGTTGAAGAATATTTAGAAAAATTAGAACATTTAATGGATTCAAGTAGTTATGATGAAAAAAATAGGGATTATCTATTACTTAAATTTGATATAATTACTAATGATTTAAAAGAATTAAATTCTGAAATAAGAAATATAATAGTAAACATTATTGAAAATATTGATAAATATCCTTCGAATGATCAAATTAAACATAAAATTGATATTTATTTACGTTCAGGATTTTATTTTATTCATTTTGATGATAAAATTGAAGAAGGTTTAAACAATTATAAAATAGCAGTTGAATTAGCTGAACAACAAGAAAAACAAGAACCATCAGATATACATAAATGTCAACTTGCGAATGCAATTTTTCAATGGGCAAAAGCACGAGTAAACATTGGTCGTTTAACAGGTAAGAAATTAAAATGAATACTATATATTGATGAATATTTATTTTCTATTCAGAAAGTACAGAAAGAAAATTTAAGCGTGCAATTGAATTATATCAACAAGTAAATGATAAAAATGATAAAAGTGTTTTAAAAGTAATCGATGAATTAGCTACTTATTACACAAAAATAGAAAACTTTCAGGTTTGTTAATTAACTTAATGTTAATAAATATTCTTTCTATTGAAAATAATATTAAACATAGTTTCTTTCGAACTAAAATCTGAAACTAAAATCTATTTTTTAGTCTTATTATACTAATACAATATGAAAATATGCTAATGAGGATACTATCCTAACTGATATTTGATGTTTTGAACTCATATTAGACACATAAATTAGTACAAAATGAGATTCGAAAAATTCTACAAGGGTTTGTCTCCATAGGGATTTTAGGGCTAAGTTATGACCGATTTACTGAACTTTCGAAGTATTTTTAGATACTCTCCGAAAAAATCAAATCATGATTCAAATTTTTTTTCTATAAATAGCTCTAATAACGCGTCGAATATTCTAAAAATTTCAGTCAAGAAGAATATTCCTTCATCGAAATATTGAATTTTTATGTGAATTTGAATTTTGCAACAAAAAAGTCGTTTTTGGGAAACTCAATATCTTGATGAAGGTTCATTTTTTTCGGCTGAAACTTTTAGGATATTTTAAAACTCATTAGGCCAATGTAAATGCAAAAGTTAAGAACGAAACTTTACAACTTGATTTTTCGTGTACTATTGACAAATGAGTCGAGAACCTCGTAAATCGGTCATAACTCAGCGCTTACCACCAATGGAGACAAGCCTTTAGCTTTCCCTAGTCTTGTTGAGATCTTCTTCTAGGTTGTATATAACTTTAAATAAAAGGACCGTTTGTGTAGTTCCTTCGTGGAAACCCTCGAGCAAACTAAATATTTTCCAAGGATAATCTATTGTCAGATAAATGATGCTGTTTTTTTTTAGTTTCGTATTCTAGCATTGGATTGAAAGATTTTTCTATAACTTAATTTAGGATGCCTTAAATATACTTCATGATAGTTTGTCTGATAAAAAACGATTATATGGTGAGTTTTCAGATGATGTTATTCAAACTGAATCACGTATTGGTGCTATTCATTTACGTGAATGTGAATATCTTGATGCAGCTGAATATTTAACACAAGTATATAAAAATAGAAAATTTTCTTTTGACAAATTATTTTTGGGTTTTCTTTTAGTGTCTTGATCTTCAAGAATTTGTTTATGGTCCAAAAGATTTAAGAACATGTCAAACACGAGATGCACTTGCAATTTTAAAAAAGTATGCTATTATATTATATACGTAAATAAAATTTTGCATTCGTTTTTTTATTTAATTAATTCTATAGAGATCCAAAAGTTTCTCGAACATTTTTCTCTCGAACACAAGACGGAATACGACAAGATCGACCAGCATTTCGATTATCAAATAAAGTTTCACATGAAAAAGAAGATCATGAATTATTGTTAACTGTAACAAAAAAGCCACCTATTTATTCTAAAAATTAATATATTCTTTTTAACATTTGTTTATTATAATGTAATAAAATATGTGTTTTTACCATATTGCTGAGTTTTAAAATATTGCCGATTAATAATATAGTTGAAATAACAATAAAAATAGTATTTCGAAGAAAGGAAAAAAAAAACAAAATCATTTAAATACTATAACGTTCTGGTGCTATTTGAATAAAATCATCAAAAATTTGTGGAATAGGAAGTGTTTTCAAATCATCAATAGTTGATTTTGAAATTGGAAAACCCCAAAATTTAAATAATGGTACTAAATTATGACCAACTTGTCGTGAAAATGTTGTTATCCAATAATCCATCTTTTCTTGATCTGTATTAAGTTTTGGTTGAATTTTTTCATATTTACGAAAAACATCTTTATAACTTTGCCAACCATATTCTCGAGCTAATTGAGCATAAATAAACAAAGCAACACCGGGTTGTTCTTTCCATTCATCAAAATTTGATCCTTTTTCAATATATTTTTTTGTACTTGATATTTGATCTTTTAACCATGTATGTATCCATGGTTCAAGATGACAAACTTTATCCATTGCATGTAAAGTAAATATATTTACTGTTACTTCACCAGTACCATCAAATGCTAGACAGAAATAAAAGAAAAGAATTTCTTCGTTTGATTCAGAAAAATAATAAAAACTATTGAGTACTTACTCCACCAGCCTTGTTGCATATTATGCCCAAGTTCATGAAATAAACCCCAAGCTCCTTGTTTTTCTAATTTTTCACTGTTAAATATAAAATCGTCTGAATTCGAATAACTTATATCCATATGTGTTACAACTGGATATCCACTATCTAAAATAAAATTGATCTTTGTTTTAATAATTATATATAGAAAATAGCTTTCTTACGCATATAACCAGCCGATGGTTGTTCATCAGAAACAATACGTTCACGATGTATTGGTTTTGTTCCACGTAGATCATGATGAGCAAGAATAATTGAATCCCAAAATTGTATAACTCGATCTAATTCAGCAGGTTTTAAATGTACTACACTTTTAGATGGAAGATTAAATGCAATATATCGACCAGATATATCAGCCCATAAACCAGGTGCATTAGTACATCGGTATTTCCACAGTTCAGCACGATTTGCATCTGTTATATCATATGTTGGCGTTAAAACTACATGATGGAGAGTAACAGTAATCGAACTTGATTCATCATTCGAATTTTGAAAAAACAGTAAACCACCAAATGCTGAACTCATTTTTGTTGTTTTATTAGATAATGGTTTACATATTGAAATACAAGACCATCGACGGAGTTCATCACAGTTCTATTTTTAAAGAAATATATTATAATTCTATTACAAAAATAAAACTTTACTCCAAGATCATCACTATGACATCCAATTCTAGCTGTCCATCCAGTTGGTCCTTTTTGTTCTAAAATATCAATTTGAATTGGAATACCAGCAGCTACATAATATCCTAATAAGAAAAACAACACAAAGCCATTATTTACTCGAATAATATATTTTCATTTTGCCGTTTCTACCTGTACAATACCATTCATTAGCTTTCGATTCTATATGACATTGAACATGTGTTAAAATATGTGGTGGTCGATCAAAGTCTCCCGGAAAATTACGAACACCTTAATTTCATTATCAAACTTTTTTTCAAATTAATTCAATAAATATTTTTTTACCTGGTGCTTTAATACCCGGTAAAGCACACATAATTCCACAGATTCCACTCGATTGTTCTCGATGTGCTTTGTCTCGAATTGGACAACTATTAGCTGGTATTACTTCTTGACTTGCATTCATAACAATATTTTGTAAAGTTTCAATTGGAACTCCCGGTAATGTATCACCTAACTCTCGAATAGCTGAGCCAATAATACCTAAATTTTGTACATTATTTGGATTATTTGTTAAATTTTGAACAACACTATAAACATTTTTAAATTGAATTAAATCTTCTCGAAATTGTATTGGATCCGGACAATCTGCATAATTATCTGTAATTTTCACTCCAATATAATCACAAAAACGTGCAAATGGAAAGTCTGTTAAAAGTTTGCCATGATTTATTTGTAACCAACCCCATGCTGTTGTTCCACAGATCAATGCACCACCACGTTGTAAATAATCACACTAGAAAAAGACACAGAAAAAAAAAACACATTTTGAATTCATTTTAAATTTGAAAATTTTCTTTACTAAATCATTCATAAATGTATCTGATTTCGCATAATGACCATCCCAAACAAGAATTTTTCCATGGGCTGCTACATCATTCATACTCTTAGCTTCGTTAATTGATAAAAATTCAGTTTCATGTTCTCTTGCAAGCCATCGACGGCAATTTTCAATAAATTGTTGATTTTTCTTTTCAATATTTAAAAATATTCCTGGATAACCATTATGAGCAAAGACTAAACAACGACCTTGACCAAAACGAGTAGCAACAATAATAACATTATTTGAGTCTGCACCACATAAAACTGCACGAGTATCATTAGTTAATGGAATAAGTGTTCCTGGACAACCGACTTTGTCAAGTGATGATACACCTTGAAATAAAATTTGTGGTACTCGATCAAATTCTTTATCATCCATCTTTTTTATCGTTTATTTTTTTTTCTGTAAAACCAAAAAGAAAAAGTTGGTTTCATATATATATATATATACACATATCAGTTGATTCAATAGAATGAATCATTCTTTTTCTTTTCTTTCGTTGCAGCCAACAACAAACAACTTCAGAAAAGAGAACAAAAAAATCATACTAATACACGAACACCATCTGATGCACCGAATCGATACGTTTATTTTTTCGCTGTCAGTGTGCTATATGGGCAACAACTAAATGTTGCTATACCTTGACAAAAAACTGCAATGATGAATAAGAAAACTTCTGTCGCTCGATCATAGTTTTTTTTTATAGCATCATTTATTCATAAAAAAAAATAATAAATTAGTTATTTGAGTGAGTCATCGATTATTTTCTATGGTGTCAGAACTTCGAATGCCCTGGCTCATTAACAAAGTCTACCAAGAATTGTAGACGTCAAAATACAAAAGCAAATATTATTCATACTTACTATGTATTTTTCATATTTTAATCGTTTGAAGGTGACTCAGAAAAACAAAGATTACGTTAGGATTACTTTTTTGATGTTCAAAAATATCAGAATGATTATAAAAATTAAATTAATCACGAGTATTTATTAATCTGAAGAATTTCTCTATTTTTATCAGTACAAACCTGATTGAAATCAAATCTTTATTTTCTCTTCTACTGAGTAAACTATAAATAAAGTAAAAATGTATCATATTTTTCTTTAATATGTTTTTGATAAGAGATATAATTGTTCGTGTTGATGATAAACCTTTTTGCTAGTACATATACATATTAATCATAACAAACATATATGAATATATAAAAATGATTTTATTCCGATTAGTGTCGTATCAAATACTTCTTCAATTAATATAAAAAATTTTTTTATTCATATTTTAATCACTATAAATAACAGATGGAAATTGAAAGATTTCATAAGAAAGTTCATATTCGTTTCATTTGAAAGGTAATTTATTACTTAATGTTTTTTTTAATATTTTATGTGATTCTAACTATTGGTGAAACGAGTGGAATCATACAAAAAAAGTTATAATGATAGGATGATAACTATGTTAATTCTCAATCTACTTTCCTCAAGAAGAAACACTTATTTGTCATAAAATTATTTTAACACATGGTTGCATTTTTTACAAATGAAATCATATAGGCAAAAGTCAATAGAGTATCTATCTCTTTTTTATGATTGTTGTTATTCATGTCATCACGATTGGTTTCGCAGAAATCATTATATTTTGAATTAACGGATGAGTGATACATATACAATGCCGAGAATATAAGTCAAGATAAAAACATCAGATCGCTGTTAGCTGAGTGACCAACTAAACAACTATTAACGGTCAGGCAAAGTAAGAAAGTGTAATTATTCTTGTTCGAATAAAATCTTTAAAAATTTAGTACAAGAAGACATTGACAATAAACATACAAAAAATATTAAGTGGATAATTGTTAGACAAGAAAAATTGAAAAAGATATCTTAATTACAACCCGTATATTTACGATTTTTGTTATTATGATTTTCGAATTTTTCTCCCATATTAGACAAACGGATGATAAAAGTAATAATATAAATGATTTTCATGAACATCATGATTCTTTTTGTAAATATGTACTGAAATACTTCAAAACAAAGCTGTAACTGGTCCAAAATTTTCGAACGTAGTGCGAGTTGGCTGGTCCAAATTTTAGACGGATTCGAGCCGACTGGTTAAATAAGTTTTAGATTAACAAAAGCCAATCGATTTTATTAAGTGATTTTTACTTGTTAAAAGCAATCATTTAAAAAAATCTTGCTTTTATGTTTTCATTAAGACTTTTACGATTTTTCAAAGACAAATATTGAAGTCTAATTGTTTCAACATGTTAGCCCTACAACATCCGTATTAAGAACACTTCTCCGACACAAAAAAACTACGGCGACATACCCAAAATTACATCCTAAAGTTTTAATTACTAACTTTTTTCCACTTCTGATTTACAAAAGAATCTATTATCTTTTTATTAATCAGAAATCTAACTTAAGTCTGGTCCCTGACAAAATCTTAGTAGATTAATGGAACAAGTCTAGTTCATATTATAATGTTGATTGTGCTTTGTAAAAAATGAAAGAAAAATAGATGCAAATGATATTTAGGAACAATATTACTTTTTATTCTGATAAATGTACTACAACTTGCTCTAATGATCCATGATCAGGAAAACAAATCAGTATATTTAGAGGAATTTTCTGACTGTTAAAAACCGATAGTTCAATTGTTACAATCAACTGGATGGATCGAACCGGTTATAAGTCTGTTACAAAGAAACAAAACGATAAAATAAATGAATCGATTACAAAAGTAAGGCGATAGTTTTTATTCTTAAAATGAATTAGAGTATGAGTTCAACCGAGAAAATAATTGTCATTCATTTTCGATGAATTATTGGTAACTAATATAGAACTTGAATAAAAACCGAGTGAATCTATCTAATATATCTGATTTCTTAATCGATGCCACAAAAATAACTATTTTTGTGTACTCAAAAAGTGAGTACACTCTAGAATCGGTCAGTATGTCCGTCCGGCCGTTAACACGATAACTTTTGAAAGGAGAGTCCATTCGCCATGAAATTTTCTACACAGTTCAGTCTTAACAATGTCTCGGTCGAGTTCGAAGATGAGAAGAATTGGCTGAACCATTCCTGAGTTATTGCAAAAATACTCATTTTTTCCTATGGCTTTCTATGCAAAAATCGACCCATCCCCGCTTTCGTAAAAAACTTTTTCTATCATAGTCAAATAAAACCCCAACTATTATATACCATTCGATAGAGAATTTCACGAGCTACAAAATGGTATATAAAACATAAAGTAACAAGAAGGCTAAGTCACCTATTACAAAGATAATTAAAGGGAAATGGATTCCGTTTTTGTCCACGGTCTAATTGACTCATAATTCGAGCTCTATCTTCCGATCATAGAGTTGATACTTTGAGGTTTTCTGGGGCGGAGAACTCGAATCCGTACTCCACTTGCCTCGAAATATTATTGGTTGAGCAGTGACCAATAGAAATCAAGTTATAGGAAAAAACGACTTTCTTAGGGTTAATCAAGGCGAAAAGTTCAAATTTGAGCTCTATTCGCCTCCAAGCCCTATTGTTGGACCAATAGCCAACAGAAATAAACAGTTTATAGGAAAGGTTTCCCAGTATAATTTTGATATCCACACATTCTAGGATGACTCATCTGTCTAATTCACTTTTTGAAGTACACATAACTCTCGGATTTAAATCCGAAGTTTCCGCATTTATTTAAACTTGTATATGAGTCCGTTCAAAATATCAATATAATTATTAGCTATTTTCAAAATATTTCTTAACATTTATACATGACCAATTAGTTATTCATATGTTTCATATAGTTGATAATGTTTATGGAAGGCTTTTTCATTAAAATCGATAACATTTGTTTTTTTTTTAAGTTTCAAGAATTCGTTCTTTTTACCATGTAACCTTTTATCATTCAATCTATTTTTGAAACATTAGTAGTTTCTTTCTATTATTAATAGCATTAGAGTCAAGTCATTCTTTCATTTCTTTTTCGTCTTTTACGGTCAAAACCGAATTTTAGATTTTGCTTAGCTATTATTCGATGCGTCAATGTCATTTATTCATCATAATTATTCATTTTCTTTTATTCATTCGTATATCTTAGAAAATGTTGACTAAATACTTCGATGACGAGTAACTGAAAATTGAGTCAATGAATATGAGTATGTTGTCTGAATGAATCATAACATGAAACAAGTGACGACAGAGAATAAAGATAAGCATATTCAATGGCGTTTGTTTCTCTTACCTTCTATATAAAAGAGGAATGGAATGAAGCACAAGACATTCAATTTCAGTTTTTTATATTAAAACTAAACACAAACATTAATAGTTACAATGCCAACGGGTACATTAGAAGTTTTTATTGCTGAAGGACGCCATCTTAAAGATCGTGATATTATCGGTAAAAATGATGCATATGTAGAAATTTATTTAGAAAAAAAATATAAACAACGTACAAAAATCATCAAAAATACCAATGATCCAGTATGGAATGAACGATTTACATTTAATATTCATAAGGGTGATGATACAATTCATTTTGATGTATATGATGATGATCTTATTGGTCGAGATTCAGTTGGAAGTGGTAAAATTAAATTGAAACATGTTTTCGATGATGGTAGATTTGATGAATGGGTCAAATTACCAGCTAAATTAGGTCTCTCATCTCATGGAGAAATTCATGTCATTATGAATTTTACAGTAAGTTAATAGTTAAGATATTTGCTTATTTTGTTTTTAATCATGATTTTCTTTCTTTTTCTAGCCAGCATAATTGACAGTCCAACAACAAACCTTAGTATGGTTGTCTGTATTTAATTTTTGTTGTTGTTTGTAAATAAAAGTATTCTTTTGGTAACTAATAAATACAATCATGTTTTATAATGATTAATATTTTGTGTTATTTGACATTGATAACAACAAAGATCATAGAATTATCGAAGTTTGACACAGATTGATGATTTTTCCATAGAAAATATAATGAATAATTTATTTTATTCAATCCACTGTCTCTTATATATGACAGAAAATCAAAATCATTTGATAGTTTTCAATCAACAATAGTTTTTCCTTTTAATTATTCTTGTGTGTTTTTGCATAATTATGCTATGTTTTTTTTTATCAATATTTTAAAATCATTCATATTGGTACTCTATAATGAAGTATGCTATATACTTATTTATTTGTTGGTAATGCTTCATTTGCGTAGGTTGAATAATATACGACATCATTTTAATCTTATTAAAAAAAAAGAATTGTAAAAAGATAAGATGCAAGACAAAACAACAACATTTTGTTCGCAAGGTGAGTATGAGTCAGAACTATTGATTAAAATTTAATATCAATTTATATTATCTTTTAAATTCAGTTTTAATTATTAAAATTTGTCTCATTGTTTAGGTTTCTTGACTCTTTTCTATTCAATAATGATTCGTATAAAACATCACTACACAAATGTACTTGAAATAAATTTATCCATTAATCAAAATTATTTCCGAATTTTTATCTATTTCTAACAATGAATATTCTTAAAACTGAATTTTAGACTTTGTTTAATTCATAGAGCTGCGCCATTGGTATATACTATCATATATGGCTTATTTCCTTTCGGTTTTTGTTTAGAATTTTTTTCTATATTCTCTCTGTTTTATTTAAATATTGGAATGTGTTACAGTTACACAACATTATCTATCAAATTTTTAGCATAAAGTTCGTTGTTAACTCAGAAGTAAGAATATGGCTGAATTATAAGAAAAATTATTTTTATTTTCATTAAAATTCATAGGCTGATTGAATGTTTGAACTAGATTGTTTCGTTTTTCTTTTCAAATCGAATTTTGTATTTAATCATGTTTAATGGTAAAATCGAAGGTACTATGTATTGTTGAAAGATGTTATCGAAAAATTTGCAATATAGGTGATAATGAAAATTATGCTAATTTCGAAGACTATGTCATTGAAAAACGAAAATTTTTCTATTTGATATTAATTAAATCTTGAATTGATCCATTTTTAATGTTCACAAAAATGATTTACTAATTTGTATTTTGATTTCTAATCGAAAATGTTAATAGAAACATCAATATGCAAGTGGCTTTGTTGGATAATGGATTAAATTTGTCTGGATAAATATTCCGTTTATGGACAAACGGTGAAATTGATATTACTGTTAGTCATATGATAATACTTTTTTCATACACTGATTCATTTTATATATATAAAATAACTCATAGGATTATTGAAAATACATGAAGATCAAGAATTGAAGCATAGAAAGAACAATAAAAAAAATTTATTTAATGGAATCATGACACCTTTTGTTTACTAAGTGCATACTTAAAATATAAGTTTATATCAATTTCGTTTGTTTTTCATAAATACACTAGTTAAAATTCTTGTCTTTATTCTTTCTCAAATTTTGTTCTTCTTAACTGTCAGTCAAGATTCTTGCCTACACGAAAACAGATCTTGACTGTTTAGGTAATAACTACCACACTAGTAAGATTCTTATATTCTTGAATCCTTATCTGATTCTTTTTTTTTGTTAAAACTCCTTTTGGGTCTTTGTGATCCAGACCTAGTCTCTTTATAGGTAACGTGTTTATCTTTTATCACTACTATTTTATATTCACTACAATACACGAAAAACTAAGCGATAAATACAACAAAAAAACTAATAAATTCCATTTTATATAGCATACAAATAGAAGAGATAGAGAACTTTTACAATAGTAAATAAAAAGAATAAGACAATAAAATACACAGGTTTACAGTCAAATTTTAAATCTAACACGTTCATTATAAAGAAAAAAAAAGAGAAACAAATAATCACAGCAACGTATCTATATTAAAAATACGCACGTTTTATTGCTCGTCTTCTTCATCTTCATCATTTAGAATTGATAAATATTCGATTATTGTTGAAGTTTTTCGTTTTCATAGAGCTGTTGTTGATTAATTAAATGAGTTTTGTTCATTACATAAAACACAATATATATTGAATAGGATCGTGTAGAAATGAATGACTAGCGTTTTAGACGTTCGAATATATATGTATGTGTATATATAGACGGCACATGCTATTTGTCTTGAAGTTCAGATAAAAATCTTTTCATTGGAAAAAAGAAGATTACCTGAAATTCAAAGAAACTAGATAGTCTGTATTTCTTGGCAGCTTCTTATTTTTTTTATGAATCCGACAAGACTCTTTTTATTTTGAACCTAAAGCAAGAATTTTTTCTTTTTTTGGTAACTTGAGCCTTAGGTAAAAGCCAAGAAATCATAGATATCTTGTAATTCTTTTCAGATTCTTAATTTTTTGATGAATTAGTAAAGATTTTTTTCATCTTGAGCTTCAAGTCAAGAATCTCTCTTTCTTTTCTATTGAAAAGCACCTTATCTGAATTTCAACATTAAAATGAATCTTCACTAATAAATCAAGAAAATCAAGAAGCTGATGAAAAACGACGTTAAATGAACGTCGATTAGTGATACTTTATATATTTCACTGTTATTAAATTTTGTCGAATAAAATATTCTTCTACGAAATTATTTGACAAATAAGTATTAAATTTATATTATCTATATCGTTCCAAGATATAAATTTTTGATGTATATTATTAGAAAAATCAAAGCTGTTACAAAGTCAGTTTGTGATTAAATATCAGGTATGAACACTTAGGAAACAACCAAATTTATGTGCACAGCTCTATTAGTAGGCAACTTCACAATATAGAGCTAACATATTTACCTAAGAGCATGATGTTACTATTTTTAATTACAATAATATGAATTGTCTGTGCTTAGTAGAGCCCGTCGGGTAGGACCCGGACCCGGACCCTACCCGGACCCGCACGGGTCCGGGTCCGGGTCCAAAAATTTTATTTTGACCGGGTCCGGGTCCGGGTCCGGGTCTGAAAATTTTGCTTTAACCGGATCCAGGTCTGAAGAAAACTTTGATCCATACAATTTATTTTGAATTTTTTTAAAGTTTTCTTCGTTTTATACAAAGAAGAGATCAAATGTATTTAGAAAATAGATAAAAAACAACAAAACCCTTCTTGACTATACTATCTAAACTGACTTGTCATTGTGTTTGGATCCAAAAAACTTAAGCGATCGGGTCCGGGTCCGGGTCCAGCAACCTGTAAACGGGTCCGGGTCCGGATCCGGGTAGAAAAATTTTAAATGATCGGGTCCGGGTCCAAAATCCTGGGCCAGGGTCCGGGTCCGGGTCCAAAAATTCTGGACCCGACGGGCTCTAGTGCTTAGGCGGATTATCCTGATCTCGAGCTATGCACAGATGCTATGTTTTATCAACTTTCAGAGCTAACATGCATGCATATGTAGTAATCATTGCTTGTAATGAGCAACACATGAGTACACGATTGTGATATGAACAAGAGTTAAATTATGTATATATGCATACCTGGAAAAAAAATTGTACTCCATATTTCCAATATGTTGTCATTATATAAATTAGTTTTAGAAAAAATTGTATATTCTTACAGTGCTAACAGTTTTCAGTCACTTAGTATATTTATGTTTTAATTTAAACTTATACGCTGCTAAAATAAATCAAGTATAATGAAAGCAACCTCATCACCCGATTTTCCTGAACTTCGTTTTGTTGTTATCATCAAAATTAATTTTTTAAATTTTTTTATCACAATAGAATTATCTTTTTGAAAAAAAAGTAAAAATATACTATGATAGAACTTAAAATCCTCTTTCATCCCTTATATTTTTCGATTGTATTACATTCATTAATTGAAAATTAATTTGAGTACAACGAGCTTATCTTTAATTGACAATTATCAAAAATCGTTATTGCCTTTTTCAAAGTATCACAACTATGTAAATGGAATTTTAAGAAAGTTATTATAGATTTTGATACAGTAAGAAATTCTCTATTATCTAATAGTATATTTTTCAATTATTTTGGATTTGTTTGTTGTTACTAAAAAGTGCAAGACAATAAATAAATAGAAAGAATTATAGAGAATTTTAATTTCTATCATAGTATATACTTACTTTTGTTTAAAAAAAGTAAATCTATGATGATGAGAAATTTCAAAAACTAATTTCAAAGACATTAACAAAACCAAATGCGTAGATATTTGGTGCTAAGATTTCTTTCATTATGTTAGAGTTATTTGAGAAGCACATAAGTGTAAACTAAAGCATCAAAGCATAGAGTGATAGAAATCTACGATTATTTTAAAAATATGAATTATTTATGTTTTATTTTGTGTTTATAATAACTATATATTTAAAATACGGACTACGACTATATTTTTCAGGTGTATTTATATATACATATATACGTAGAAGAGAATATTCAAATAGTTCCTGAAAACTTTGAACTGTCTACTAAGCATAAATAATACTTACACTCTTTTCTTCGTAGGTTATAGACTAAAAATTTAAATATGAATCTAACGTAAACGAAAAGTCGTCTATAAGTTTGAATTGTAAACTTGATAAAAACTTTTGCATCTTAAGTATATGCAGACGATCTTTTTACGTTTTTCGGCTAAATTTTTTTGCATGCATGTCTTTTTTAGACAATGAACTTAGTTCAATAATAAAATAATACAAAAGAATTTTAATTTACGTATTCATAAGAATGAGTATGCTCAAAAAAAAATATTTATACATTATGTTATCAAGGAAATAGAAATATATCTAAATATACTGTAGATAATAGTTCGACGTAGTGCTTTTTATTCATTGAAATACCACAATAGAATTGTAAATTTATCAAGGTTATCTTGCTTTTAATCAAATTATCTGAATAACGTTTCCCTAAATTGCAATGGATATTCAACAAAAACAACTGTTACGGTTTTCATGATGTTTCCTTTTGTTGATATTTTACCAGCTTTTAATGTAATCATTGAATTAAAGAAAGACGTTTATTCTTATTCTTTATTCTAATTTCAACTTGATTATTAGCTTCGTTTGTCTTCAAAGATATATGCTGTACTATGAATTTATTGTATTTATTTTTTTTTGCACATAAGACATTTATCTGAAGTAAAGAGAAGAATAAAAGCATAATAATTGACATCACATATAAAAAAAATGTTATTATTCATATTGACTTCTCTCACTGAATTAAATATTGAACTGAACCGACTAATAATAATAATTGTTTTCAGTAGAAACTAATGGAAGCCATCATCATAGAATTAGCAAATTCATTTCTCTTTTTGTCTTTATTCAATATAGGAGTAATGTATTAAAAAAACAGCAAATTGAAGAAAAATACTTTCTGTTCTTTGATTCTCATTAAATAAGTAGGCGAACAAATACGGTGTCATTTTAAAACCTAATTAACTCATTTGATATGCTCTTCTCCATTTAAAATCTAACAGAATATTTTTATTACTAATATAACTTGATGTGTAGGAGGGTAAAAAAGAAGCGAAAGCTTTTTTTTGGTTGTTATATTTTAAAAAGATATGTATCCAGTTTGTTGATAAGCTCATTTTCTAATATTTGTGTTCACATTTAAAGATAAGAGTAAAAACGCTAAATAGATGAAAACGATAGTAGTTTTTTAAGGCGTGTTTTTTCCGGCTTTCTTATTCTCCAAATAATTGACAGTAACAGAAATGACTGACTTTAGCGAGTTTCATTTTGAAGATATTTTATCTTTTACAGAAAATATGATATGACAAGAAGAATCATAGTAAAGTTTATATATCTCATTCATTTTATTAAATAAAAGTAATGAACAATGGCAACGTTTTTTCTTGAATATATATTTTTAGATCTATTGATAATCGCATTTATAATTACAAAATCTATTACTAATGATTCAGGTAGTAAATCATGATGTTAATTTATATAAAACTATATTTTCCATTTTAGTTGATCTCTTACTCTACTTCAAACTATCATTTGTTGACTCTTTTTATTGTCCTTCTTACATTTGTCAATAACAATAAAATTTCAGTCTATGGTATCAATAGTGAATCTGATTATGATCATCATGATTCAATCCATAATGATATATCGTATAAAAGTATTGGAAATAATGAATTACCCATTCGAATCAATCCTAACAGTTTATATGTACTTGATGGGAATGAAATAATATCAAAAAATCCTTGGTCTGAATTATTTCATCATCATTATAGTCGATCTATTTTTACTCCAACATATTCTTCATTAAGACAACCGGGTTTTGCTGTACGCCGAGATAAAATTCATTTTATTCCATATCCAACTGAAAAACGTATAATTCCAATTGAACTTCAAAAAGCCCTTTTTGCTCATGGAATTGTAGGCCGTCGACGTTAGGTAACACTTTTTATGAAAAGACAAACGTAAATGTTTCGTTTTCATTTCTGACCTATTACAATTCAATAAAAGAAAATCATAAATGAATAGAATAAATAATATATCTTAACTTTTTTAAAGAGTTTTTGTATTTTCATTGATTAGTCTATTTACAGAAAGTTGTCAAGTGAACAATTACACACGATTAAAATGTTTATTATAAGATTTAGTGAAGATTTCGTTACATTCAATAATATATTTTGTGGAATATCTTATGAAGTTTGATAAATATGAAAATATTGAACACATGTTTATTTTCTATTCGCTATGATTGTCAAAAGTTTTCTGTTTTTGTTTTTAGATTGAAATCTTATGAGAAATGAAACATAAAAGTCAACACTACACCATGCTTTCACATTTATATATCAGAAAATATTTTTATTAGTATTTAATAAAAGGATGGATGTGACTGATGCACAGAATATAAAGAGCATTGAGAATAGAAGAAAAAAATGCAATACGAATCTTGTAGGATTAGATATGACGCCATATGTAATATAATTAACACTAAATTCAATAACTAATAAAACATCATGCAGACGATATTAGAATACGAATAAGACTCAAAACCTTTGGTTGACGTTTAGTACGTAGAAATATAATATGGATCTCATATTAGAGATACACGATACAGAAAAAAAGATACAGACGGAATACATCGCATTATCTTGCATATTATTAGAAATTACAAGCATCGGAGGAAAAACAACATTGGGTGGCACAAAAAATTAAGAACATGTGAATAGTGTAGTAGCTGATACAATGGTGACTTCTATTCGAATTGATTCTGATATATACTCAAATGTAAAAGACGATATTTGAAGCATCAATTGTTATTGGAAAAATTTCTAATAGTTATATTTATTATTTTAACAGATGTCAGGATCATTTTATAATGATTGTTCCTACTAAATAAGATTTATTAAAACTTCATTTTTTTCGAATCAATATGGCGTTAATAACTACACATGATCTATATATAGCGATATTTTGAGTACATGACCAATGTGAAAACCATATCTTTACCAAAACCATGTTTTCTTAAAGCGCTTAGAATGTTCTATTACTTTGAATATTTATGTTTTAGTTTGCACTTATGTACTGGAAAATAAACCGATGATGGTGAAGACACGCTCATCACTATATTCCTACGGACTGACTTTATCACTGTCATCACGTTTGGGTTTTAAAATTTTTTATCACTACTGAAGTATCTTTTCTAAAAGAAGTATTTATGTATTCTGTTATAACTGGAAATTTTCCATCTTTCTATATATTTGTCTACTGTTTTGCATTTATCTATTGCAAAAACATTACGAGTACATTAAAGATACTCTTAGTAGGACAAAAATGAAAAATCTCTGTTTTTTCGCTACTTTTTTCACTTTGCCTAATTATAGATATTATGGGGGAAAAGTTTTTCAAAAATGATTGTGCATTCTGACAGAGCTTCAAATATTCTATCGTTCTATATATTTTTGGCTTGTGTTGTATTGATGTGCTGCAGAAGAATTTTAATATTATGTAGATATGTTTCTAGACAAACCGTAAAAAGGCTGATTTTCTCACTACATCTTTCTTTTTTTGTTTCAGTACTTTAAAATGATTGAGAATGTAAAGCATTGTCAAAACAATTGATTACTTGTCGAAAAAGTTATGTCTATATTTTTAATAAACTTGAAAAAAAAAGAACAGTTATGCGAGAAAATTCAGTTTTTAGGGTTTCTCAAGAAAAACGTCTACATGCTACCGGAATTATTTTTCAGCACATAAATATAAGACAAAACAAAAATATATTGAACGATAGAAAATTGAAAGCTCTATAAGAATGCATAATTCCTTTTGTAAAGATTTAGTCCCATAGTACCTGTAATTAGACAAAGTGGAAAAAGTAGAGAACAAACAGATTTTTCATATTTGTCAATTAAGAGTATCTTCACTGTAGTCATATTATTTTTAAAATTGATAAATTCAAGACAATAGATAAATATATAGCAAGATAAAGAGTTTCAAGTGCTATAAGAATACATAAGTACTTTTTAAAAAGCTATTTCCATAGGGATAAAAAATTTAAGAAACTAATTGTGATGAAAATGATAAAACTCAGTCCGTACAAGTCTAATGATGACAGTGTCTTCATTGCCGTCGATTTATTTTTTAGTACAGAAAAATAAATTGAAACATAAATATACAAGGTGATAGAATACTCCGAACGCTTTCAACATAGATCATTACTGTATTAAGCATATGTTTTTATATTCATGATGCGTTCAAAATGTCGACTGCAACTACTTTTTTCTAGTAATCTATATGATCGTTCACCACAGTTACGATTTCTCCCATAAGATATAGAGTATCATGCCACTTTTTGTAGACAATGCTAGGTTTGCTGTAGTAAGGCCATGAGTATAGCCTGATCGAGTCTTTAATATAGATCGGATATAAAAAATAACGAATATTAATGGCTCGGCCATTGCTGTAAAAGAAGTAGTCGAGCATAATGTATGGAAGTGAGCGTTGGAATCGGATGTGCATTGAATGGATACTGAAACTTTAACGGTGATATGCATGTGAATCAATATCTGAATTACAACGACGAAAAGACCGATAGTGAAGCCGAGTGTAAACCAAGATGAGCACTAGAACGAAATCAAAACTACAAACGATAGTGGCTCTTCAGCATACAATGAAGCTGCCTTGCACATTGAAACTTAGGCTGGGATGAGGGCGTAAGCTTATATCAACTCTACAGCTATGATGAAAGACCTATCTCGCATTGATAACAGAATCAGACTTGGCATACAAACTACTAGAGGCTCTAGAACAGGTACTAAAGCTGCGTCTTGAATTTATACCGAGATTAAGACTAGGGAGAATACTGTAAAGGCTTTAGGGCGAGGCTGCAACCGTATCCCACATTGATACCAAGGTCTGGAGCAGAGTAAAAGCTGGTAGTGGCTCTAAGGTCCAAACTCAAACTTTTTCCAGTATTAAAACCGAAATCAACATACAGGCGATCCCTCGTAGAGACTCCATGGTTGGCATTGAAGTCGTGTTTTGGATTGATACCGAGGTCTGAACCAGGGCAAAAGCTAGTAGTGGCTCTAAAAACAGGACTCAAACCCTGTTTCGCATTGATACCTACAGTGGATCAGCAAGAAAGCTGTTAGTGGCTCAAGGGCCGAGACTGAAATGGCGTCCGGTATTAACAGCAAGTTTGGGACCGACATGCGAACTCGTAGTGGCTCTGGAGTCCAGTCTAAAGTTGTGGGCTGTATCGGTATCGAGTTCTGCATCGCTGCGAAAACTTGCAGTGGTACTAGGATGTATACTGAAGTCCCGTCCCACACTAATACCAAGATTGGGGACTAGACCAAAACCTGTTGGTGGCTCTAGGGTTGTGATTGAAACCGTGGCCTGTATTGATGAGAATGTCGAAAACTGGACTTGAATCCATATTTCGACAGGAACCATACGTAGGTGAAACGACAGAAATTTTTAGAAAGAATTATTTAGGAACATATATTATTCTGAATTAAAATTTAAGTTGTATATGATAATGAACACGGAGTGATTGCTAATGCTCAGACGGTGTACACTAGATATTGCACTTTAGGAACATTTTGACATGAAACTGGAAGTCAAAATAAAATTTTTTTTTGGTCTTTCATATTCAATGATTTATAGACTTTTAGAACAGAGAAAGTGTCAGAATTATCGATCAAAATCAATCTTTATACTTTGATCGGTAAAATGCTAGTTCTTAAATTTATGCATTTTAATATTCACCGATTATAGGACTAAGTAACTTAATAGAAGTCTGATGAAACTATCAATCATCAATAGCTTCTACTTAATAAAAAAAAATACAAGAGTGAAAAAGAAAAATACTCTAGCTCAGATTTTAAAGTTTAGATCAAAATTTAAGTTCTAAGTGGAATTTGCACTATTATCTAAGCAGTGATCATTAATTCTAATTGAAAATGATCAACAGATTCTAGGATGTTGAAATGAAAGAATCAATAAACATAAAACATCAAATGAATTTTTGAATTGAAGTTTATTGACCTGAATCATGATCGGTGAACTGTATAGTGTTAGCTACTTCTTTATCCAGCAATTTTTCAACATTTGGAAGAATCTAGCGTCCGTGACCTCTTTGCTATGTTGCTGTTCAGTGATTAACTTTCTTTATTAAGACAAGATACCTTTGAAACCATTGTAAACAGTTTGGTAGAGTTGATTACACACACTAATCCATGATTAAATGGCACTAATTAGAGTCCGACTTCAGTTGAACAGGATGGATTAATGAAAAATATAGTTAAATTCAGATGACTTTGGCGTCGGGCTATGAAAAAATTTTTGGATCTTGGGTCCGATCTCTATCTGAATATTTTTCAGGAAAAAAAAGGCATTTTGAATCTGTTTTTTATTTAAAAGCTCCATGCGAGACGTTGAGAAAGTTTATTAGAACAAGAAGTCATGTATCGTACGATCTTTTCTTCTACATCATCGACTTTTCTTTATTGAAATCGTATAAAGATGAATAATGAGTGTACTTTCTTTTCAAAGGTAATACCAGGGGCGTACCTCGGTCTCCAGAGCAGGGGACGTAACTTCTCAAGAGCTCAAAGTCTCGAAAGCAGATGGGGGCGTAAGATATTCATTCATATCAATTCAACAGTTATAACACGTAAAAAAGAGCTTTTTTTCTATTTTGTTGTCCAAAACAAACCAAATTTTCAGAAGCAGGGGGAGGGGACGTAACGCCCTCCCTAGTTACGCCCCTGGGTAATACAAAGGTCTCAGGTGGTATCCATAAGAAAAAAAAAATAAAGGAAAATTATATCACATAATTTTGTTGTATCAGCTGTAGCATATCGGTGACATGAGAAGGATGAAACGAGGTCAAGAATGTGTACTTTGAAGCTAACTATGAAATGAAAGAACAAAAAATA